TTACAATTATGAGAGGGTTAAGTCCTAGATGTGACTGATTTTGATTTCTTTTCTATTAGGTCTTAACTTAGTAACATTATCCACATGTAACAGCAACTATGTATAAAAGGGACTCCAGGAGTCTAGGGTGCTCTGTGCTGCTGATCACTGGGATATGGCCCAATGATTTGCCTTTGTGTTCTTGAGCTGCATGTTGACCTGTTCTCAACCTTATCAGCTCAACTTCTCTAAAAACATAAAAATACCTCCACTGCTGAAATTTACCTCTCACCAGGAGCACCTTAGTCTCAAAAAAAAATGGTCCATATAACTCTATAGGTCAGCAATTGGTAGATTCACATTAGCAGTCTTGGACTTCTCTGTCCATCTCCATCTCCCACTCCCTTTCTTTAACAGTATAACATAAACGAATATTTCCAGCAGGCACAATTTCTACAAAATATATAAGCAGGATTTTTGCTTTCAGAAAAATAAAATAATCCCAACTCTTACACAAGATATACTCCTGCTAGTTTACTTTCTATAGCCAAGTAAGTATATTGACTATTCCTCAGCTCTTTTAAAAATTTTTTATTCCATCCATGCTGATCCAAATCAAACAGATCTTTAGAGGGTACTGACAATGACGTCTTCATTGAAGATGATCACTGCAGAAGCTTTAGCCCCTTGTTTGCACTGTAATGTTGTGCCAAGATCTTGGCCTTTCCATGTTCCCAGAATCTCTGGAAACATTGTTTATTTGTTTGTGCGTCTAAGCTTTAGAATGGGTTTTGCCTTCACACACACAAAACAAACAGAACCAGAAATGTAAAAAGTAATGTGGATCTCTTATTGGATTGCAATATTTTTTCTTTATATAACCACAGGACTTGGAGTCGCTACGAATAACAGGATTTGAAGTATTATCGTATTTTGGTGCATTTGTAAAATATATTCAAAGTAAAACAGAGTAAAAGGATTAGACCCATTTCTTTAAGTTGTGATGCAAAAAACATTTTTTCTTAATAACAGTTTTAAAGTCTAAGGGATTTTCATGGGGGTAATGAGTGAAGATTTACATTGTGTAAGTTTCTAAATATGAACTATAAAACTACTTTTCAAATCTTAGCCTGATGACTTAAAAGATAGTATATTAAAATAACTCTCACCTTCAAAATGAGATTTTTAAAAAATAGCATAAAGGTTAACTAATATAGTTCTCTAGTCAAAATATCTTTGCATTCTGGACATAAGTAACATTTTATAATTCTACTGGAAGGTTTCAAAATAGTTCACTAGTAATTGATTGTCTTCTATTGTGGCTGCATTTTGAGTAATAGAACACAAGCAATTTTTCCCCCTAAGTGGGTTACTTAAAGTACAAAACAAAAAGGGAAGTCATTCCTAAGAACCAAGCATACCTGCCATCAGGGGGAAACGGGGAGTCGGACGTGCTTGGTGGCTGGGTCACGTGGAAGCCACAAATCCCTTCTGCACTCGCCCTTGGTGCCCGCCAGTCCTGGTGCCAGGGCAGCAGGGCACCAAAGCATGTGGAAAGGCAGACAGTTTTGCTGGCTCCCACTAGCTCCTCAGGCCAAAGTCCAGGCAGAAGTTGGCCTTGTGGGGTTCCTGTCACCCTGCCAAGCCATCCCACTCCAGGGACACTACTAGGAGAACGCTGGCCAAAGCCGGCATGAGAAGCTACCTCCTTCACATTCTCTTCAATGTCGGGGGGCTAGACGAAAGGAAACCCCTTCTGTTGGATTTGACGGTGTTTGTGAACTAGCCAAGGAGAGTATGGGAAAGAAAGAGGCTTGTTTTAACCTCACATAATAGGAAAGAAGGAATGCTTCAGAAGAGCTGCTCTGAGGATGGAGCCCAAGATCTCTAAACTCCAGCACAGTTTACTGCCTTGTCATTTATTGAAGGGTTTAAGAAATGGAAGTAATGAAAGAAGTAGATCCTCTCTGTTTTGGTCACCATATCATTGCTTTCCCTAAGGGACAGTTCTGAGGGCACCGTGGCACAAATACAGACTAATTTATGCCCTTTGATGATCAGCAATACCTAAGAGTATACTCAAGCATATATACGTATATAGCAGTGCTTCATAGTATAGACACATAAAAGCAGATACTCTCAAAAAGAGATCTTCACTTACTCTTACGAGTCTTAATAACAGGAAAAATTAACTTACAAGGCGGCTCCTCAAACACCACAAGGACATGTACATATTCAGATGAATATATAGAGATATTCAGCAAGAAACATGTTAATCTACTACAAACACGCAATCTCTTTTCTAAATCAATAAAGACAGTATTTTCAGGGAACGTTCCTTTAGAATATTTTATTTTCCTTTTGGATTTTTTTTAAAAGAGAAAGTGAAAAATCATACTCTTACATGATTTCTCTCCAGTGGATAAACTTAGACATCTTATCAACGCTTCCTTAAATTTTTACGCCACACCGAACTTCAACAGGTTTTTGTTTTAAGGTAAACCAGGTTTCTGGTTCTTCCCTGTGGAGAAGTTACTTTCAAGTCAGTGAAAGTTCTTGGCCCATGATTAAAAGTCTTTGCCAATTAGTACTCGACAACTCCAATTCATTTTTTTTTTCTGGTTCAAGATGAGTAGGAGCCTAATAAGGCTGTGATAAAAGGGCAAAAGGCACGGAGAGCCAAAAGCGGATTAATGAGCTCCTCCATTTATTTGTCTTCCTAACAGCTGAACTGTTACAACTATTGACACTCTTCAAAAGGTTCCGCTCTGAACCCTGTCCAGGCCCTGCAGGCTCCAATGGACATCTTCAAATCCAGAGAATGGGGGGGCAAGAGCTTCCCCTGTGTGATGCCAAAACCAACAAAGCCCCACGGATCAGGTAATGAAACTTCAGCTTTTCCCCCTTTGAGATTTATTTACTGGCAGCTGACAAGGGGCAAATTCAGCCCGAATTGTGCAGTCAAGGCCCTGTCAAGCTTTTAGAGGCACCCTTGTCTTGAAGCACCTTCATGACTGGCATTTCACTCAAAAGCCCTTGGCACTGGTCCTTAACAGCTTATGACATCACAAAGGACACTCCAGACAGATGCCTACATGGCATCCTGCAGCATTTTAAAAGAGAATTAGTGGTTTTAATTATGGTCGTAGTCTGAAAGGGAACCATGCTTGCGCCCCGGGAGCCCTTTGATCAGCCCCTTTTGCTAGTACAATGCCACGGAACTGTGACTATTCCTGGTAAGGGGCCTTTTCTTGCTGAATGACTCACCAGTGATCTTTGAATGCAGACAAGCTTCTAGCCCTCCCTCTTCATTAGTGAGCATTTCTATACAGGGGCCTATATAGTGCTTGGAGTCTAGGAGCCGTACAATTGGGGGGAAAAGAATCCCTACAGATTTGGGCCTCTACTTAGGAAGTGCTGAAGGACTCTGAGTGACTTTATTCATTAAAACAGGTTGCTATTAATTAACTGTCATAATAAAATAAAGAACTATTATTTGCATTTCTTACTATGTTCTCTTTAGTAATATGTATAAAAGATGCTTGTAACAGAAATGGATTTATTGAACCACTTCCCCACCCTCCCTGAATCCCATCCCTCCCCCTCCTTTTTTTTCCCCTTCTTCTTTTTTCATTTTGGCAGTAGGAGCCTATTAATTATTGGGCCCAGACTTTCAAATAGAAGTAAAACAGAAATATAACATTAATTAAGGAAAATGTAAAATCCTTTTTACTTGCCATGAAGTCCATGAAGCTGAAATCCACAAACATCAAATGAACTTGCCTATTTTTGGTGATTCCAAAGAATTATCTAAGACTGTGAAATATAAACTATTTTCAAATTATCATCCAATGGGGTTTAGCTTGGAATATGAGATTATGTAACAACCATGGTTAATCAAAAGGAGGGGGGAAGTATCTGAAATTGAAGCATAGCAAGATTCATTCTTAAAAAAAAATACTACTTTGCCTGTGTGGAAAAGATCTTTGGTTGGGTATTACTGATACTTTTTGAATTAACCTTCAAAAGGGAATACCATAAGCAGGGTCCTTAAAAGATTCACGGTCACTATTTTAAGCATATGAAAACAGCTCATTCCCTTCTAGAATCTAATCAAGCACTGTCACTTAGGGAAAAGACTTTGGAAGTGGAAAGGTTTTACCAAAGCTCCTCACTGAAATGCTAATTTGCTAACAGGGGATGAAGGGAATTTTGTCTAAATAGCACATCTCAGTCACTAAACACTTCATTAAACAGTGCTACTGTCCCATGTCGCTTCCCTTAGAGCTGGGAGATGACTTCGCTTTTCCATTTTTATATGGTTTCTTTTCCTGGAGGAGGAAGTTTTAGACTCTAGAAATTTGGAAGTTGAAGGACAGGCAGGTTTTTCACCATTTTGCTGCCTCACACACTTTTCCTGTTTCTCAGACTTTGCAGTTCTTTTCTTAGGTGCTTCAGAGCAACTGAAATATCAGCCAGCTGGGGGTCAGTCCGCTCCTTCTGAGTGTACAGTCGGAAATGTCTGATGGTCTCAGATAACAGGACTTCGGGGTCTGCACCCCTGTCCTGAAGACGCAGCATCCGCTCACAGGCAATGGCATAGTTCTTGTGCCAATTCACAGGGTGTGCCTTTTGTACGTAGACAATCTCCTTATAAAGCTGGAAAACAGCAAAAGGTTGGTATCCCATTGTTATCCTTTGACTTTTTTTGAAAACAGAAAACACAGAGGAATTAATAACGCAAGGGGGGGAAAAATCCAAGCAGCCTGCAGTAAAAATGTAATCGTTGCTAGGCCATGCAGAAAATGCAAGGATGTTACTGTAATTATTACAGTGGCAGGAGGCAAATGTGTTTCATCTAAAACTGCTTCTGGGTTTTTCCGGATGTTGCTGGGGGAACCTCAGACACACTGTGTCAGGACAAAATGCTCTTCCTCCAGAAAGATGTTCTGGGAAAGGGATTTAGTTCTAATTCATGGAAAGCTATTTACTCAACAGGCAGAAAGGCTGAAATTCTAAATTTAGCTGTTGGAGGGGCTAAAAAAAAAGGCTTTCTTTAGGACAGTGCATAAAAAAAAAAAACAAACTTGAAGGCATTTGAATTTTTTGTGCCATATGATTTACCTGTGTTTCTCTCTTCATTAAAAGCAACCACCACTAAACCACAGAAACCCAATCCATTATCAAATAGGCAAGGCATAAAATGAAAATGTAAGAGACTTGCTCAGAGCGAGATATTTAAAATCTTGACAGAATCCTATAACTACAATTCTGATGGTTATTAACTTCACCCACAGGAATTCAGAATTTTACTTTTCAGTACAGGAGACAGTATTAATTGGCCAAAGTTGGAATTTTAGTGAATTTTTCCAGAGGAGGAGAAATCATCAAAAATTTAACAACTATACAAAAAAGACTCAAGTCTGCAAAATGGAATACTACACTCGCTTTCTGGGAATTTCACAGCCTCCCTAGGGACTGTCAGATTGGGGAAGATTTCTGAGAACTTGAGTTTACCAAGCAGGAATGCTTTCTCCAGAGATAAGCGCTTTGACTTAGAACTGTATTCATAATAAAATCACTCAGTTGAAAGGGAGCCAATTAGACTATCTTCCCAACTCTTACTCCAGAGCAGACAAAGGCGTACCTAACCTATTTTTACAGAACTTCTATAAGAAAAATTTCACAATCTACCTTTGAGATGTCATTTTGATATTTTAGAACACTCTGGCATTTTGTAATTTGGCCCTTAAGACACTTTCTGTTTGTTCCTATCACTGTTTAAGACAGGAAAGGGCCAAAACACATTTTTATATACGTCAAAGCTATGAGGCCGGCCTCCCACTTTTTTATTTTCTTGGTAAAACATTTGAGAGTGTCTCCATCCTTTCCTCGCAGTCCTCTCCCCTCGAACCACCTCCCTCTCTCGAGCCTCCCTTTCGTGGGGAACATGAGTAAAGGGCCTGGGTTGCTGCCTCATATGAAGTAGGTTTGTCAGCACTAAATGCAGGCCCTGGAGTTGCCAGCACATCAATGAGCTTTTTCAAATACTCAGGACAATAAGGGGCGCACTCATGGCTTGAGCATTAAGTCCCAATCACACTGTCTTCTTCTAGGGCACTGAACTGCCAATGCACAAACCCCTTATTCTGGATGATCCATATGTACTCAATCTTAAGCAGAAAGTAATTTTCCATCCTGTAGAATATATTTTCTCTTCTATGTGTGTGTTAGCTGCCATTCTTCTTAAGTGACTGAGCTCTCTTTATTGGGAGCATTGTCAATTTATCAAATTTCTTCTCACGGAGATGGCAACTAACTCCTTGATCCCCCACCAGAGTGTGATGACAACCAAACTAATGTCCTTTCTAAGCTACTGAGGGGTTGTTGTTGTTATGTGCCTTCAAGTCGACCGTGACTCATAGTGACCTTATGTACAACAGTCCTGAACCCTGCTCTATGCTGGGCCAATCTTATTATCTCTGACACACCTACCTCCATTACCCCAGTTACTGAGTCAATCCATCTCATCGAGGGTCTTCCTATTTTGTGCTATCTCCACCCTCCCAAACATGATGTCCCTCTCTAAGGACTGGTCTTGCAACATGTCCAAAGTATGTCAGATGAAGTTTCAGAATCCTTGCCTCCAAGGAGCAGCCTGGCTTCACCCTGTTTAGGACAAATCTCTTTGTTCTCCTAGCAGTCCATGGTATATTCAGTACTCTTCTCCAGCACCACACTCAGAGGCATCAACTCTCCTTCTAGTATCTCTAGTCATTGCCCAGCTCTCTGATGCATAGCAAGTAACTGCAAAGACCGTGGCCTCTATCAGGTGCACCTTAGTCTCCAGACTGACATCATTGCTCTTCAGCACTTTGGAAAGATCTCTGACAGCAGACTTTCACAATGCAATTCGTCTTTTAATTTCCTGGCTGCTGGTGCCAAGAGTATTGATTGAGGGGCTGTTGTTGTTGTTGTTATGTGCCGTCGAGTTGCTTGCAACTCATAGTGACCCTATGTACAACAGCCCTAAACTCTGCTCTGTCCTGTGCCAATCGCACTGTCTCTGACACTCCCATCTGAATCAATCCACCTCATAGAGGGCCTTCCCCCCCTGCACTGTCCCTCCACCATCCCAAGCATGATGTCCTTCTCCAAGGACCAGTCTCTCCTCACAACATGTCCAAAGTATGTTAGACGGAGCCTCAGAATCCTTGCCTCCAAGGAGCCACTGGTTTAACACTCCTAGCAGTCCATGGTACTCTCAATACTCTTCTCCAGCACCACAGCTCAAAGGCATCAATTCTCCTTCTATCCTCCTTGGTCACTGTCCAACTCTCTGATGCATAACAAGTGATTGTGAAGACCATGGCCTGTATCAGATGCACCTTAGTCTCCAAAGAGACACCACTGCTCTTCAGTACTTTGGAGAGGTCCCTAACAGCAGACTTTCCCATGCCAATACGTTTTTTAATTTCCTGGCTACTCGTGCCAAGAGTGCTGACTGTGGAGCCAAGCAAACTAAAGCTGTGAACAATCTCAATCTCTTCACCATCCATCCTGATGCTGCCAATTGGTCCAGTGGTGAGAATCTTTGTCTTCTTGACATTGAGCTTCAATCCATATTGGAGGCTGCACTCCTTGACCCTCTGCAGCAGGTGCTTCAGGTCCTCCTCAGTTTTAGCAAGCAGGGTTGTGTCATCTGCATAACGCAGATTATTGATAGATCGTTCACCAATCTTGACCCCACATTTCTCCTCATAGAGCCCAGCCTCCCAGATAATCTGTTCCGCATACAGGTTGAAAAGGTATGGAGATAGGATGCATCCCTGGCATACGCCCTTCCCAATTTTGAACCATGCAGTGTTCCCTTGCTCTGTTCTGACGACTGCCTCCTGGTCCAAGTATAGGTTTCGCAATAGCACAATTAAATGTTCTGGGATTCCCATTCTTCTCAGAGTCAGCCAGTTTGTTACGATCCACACAGTCAAACACCTTTGCATAATCAATGAAACACATGCCTCTGGTATTCTCTGCTTTCAGCTAAGATCCATCTAACATTAGCTATAATATCCCTAGTACCACGACCCCTTCTAAACCCAGCCTGGACTTCTGGCAGTTCTCTGCTGATGTGCTGTTCCAGTCATTTTTGGATAACCTTCAGTAGAATCTTGCTTGCATGTGAAATCAATGAGATTGTTCTATAATGTAAATAGTAACAAACACCTTTTATGTCTCACAAGAGTGCTCTTGACAAACCCATGCTGCAGGATAGTTTGGGTTTGACCATTCAAGTATTCAGAGTGCTCCTTGGAGGCAAAGATGATGTGGCTTCGTCACACATATTTTGGGCATGTTGCTGAGAGGTTATTCCTTGGAGAGGGAAGGTGGAGAGGCAGTGAAGGTGACGTTGACCAGGTGAGTTGACACAGTGACTGCTGCAGTGTGTCAGAGATGTGAGGATGGCACATAGGTCAGGGTTCAGATCGACTGTCCACAGCATTGCTATGAGTCATACCTGACTTGACAGCATCTAACAGCAACAACTCAAGTATCTGGCGTCGTGCATGCAGCACTGTACATCCAGGGACAGACAAGAAAGAGATATCTGCAGTCTGTTTCATGGAAAAGATAACTGGCCCAAAGAGATACTGAATACACGAACAAGCTTCACTAGTGGTCTAACAACTGACCACACAGCCAGAACAGTGATGTTGTTGCATACTGGTGAGTCAGAACCAACTCACAGCTGACCCTCTAGTGGGTTCCCAGTGCCAGTAAATCGGACAGGAGGGAGTCAACCACATTTCTCCCACAGAGCAGTTAATGGGCTTCCCCCTAACGAGCCTGGGTTGTCACTGCCCTCCTGCCCCCTTCTATGCCTCCCCTTCCATCTGTCTGGCTTCTGATCTTTCCCAGACAACACCTAAGTGATGTCTCCCATGGAGGCTTTTCCTCTCTTTCTCATCACTCTCCTCTTCAGCTTGTTCTTACTTGTGTATAACTCTGTGTCCAAAATACAAAAACATGCCCCTCAGAGCACTGTCAGGATTTTATCTTCTGTCTCTCTCACTTGCCTACTATCTCTGTGGGAGCAAGGACAATCCTTGATTATTTCTAGCCCCATACTTGGTATGGAGTTGGGGCTCTGTGAATGTTCAGCCTAATAAACAGGCAATCATACAAGTTACAAAATCAAGGAAAAAAATGAATCATACTGATTGGACACCTTGATATTTCGACTTGGCATCAAACAGCATCCTGCCCGAGTAGATCCTTAACTCGGATCTACTAGAGAATGTAGAAGTACTTCAGCTGCTCTCACAGATACAGGGCTCTTCTCAGTATTCATTTCACTCATGGGATATTTGTTTTCTACAGAGCAGGCTCCCAGACGATCTCAGAAGGTATCTGAGGAGGCCAGTGTTACAAAAACCAGGTGCTTGTAAAACACGGTCACAGCAAGTCTCTCCTCTGTCCACCCACAGGCCTTATGACGGTATGGCTGTCTTCTGAAAGCTGGCTTCACCCTCACTGGAAAAAAAGAGCCATTCTCCTGGACTCTTGATCTTTTCCTTATGAACTTTCAACTGGCCATGGGCCACTGATTAAAGTGCAGCCAAGGCCATGCCTTTAGTTTTTACAAAGTCATTATATTATTGTTGCTTCAATAAGAAATTGCCACACATTTAGCAGCTCAGAACAGCACAACTTCCTTATTTTACAGGTATAGAGGTGAGAAGGCCTACAATTACAGTGGTGGCAGGGCTGTTACTTCCAGAAGTTCCAGAGGGAAATCATTTCCTTGCCTTTTCTAACTTCTAGAGACTCCCTGCACCTCCTGGCTCTTGCCCTCTTCCTGCACCTTCAAGGCCAGCAGCAGACCACCGTCAATTCACTCTCCTCTCTGCTTGCACTGCTCTGTTTCCTTCTCTAAGTCTGCTCATCTTGCCTCTCTCTTATTAAGGACCCTTGTGATGACATTAAACACATTTGCATAATCAACAGTAATCTCTCTGCCATGATCCATTACTTAATCATATCTGTGGTATAAGATATTTAAGGTAATACATTCACAGGGTCTAGGAATTACAATGTGGCTAACTTTGCAAATGGGAGTGTTATTCTGCCCACTATAACATTTAATTTAGAGATGACCTACAATATACTAGGGAGCTCTGGTGGGAGTGTCTGTGCTGCCAACCTGAGGGTGATGCCTCTCTGATATTTCAAATCCACTAGCAGCTCCTGGGGACAAAGTTGGACAATCTCGTCCTACGCCTCGTACAGTCTCCTCTGAAGGGTCAGCAACATGTCAGTTAACCTGACAGTAAAGGAGTGTGAATTTTATGATGCGCTTGGGTATTTTTCCAAATATACGGTCGTACATGCCCAAATTAAGTTGGAAACAAGAAAAATGCTACTGCGAGACACCTTTTCTTTATCTCAAACTATCACCACTGCATTTCCACCAAATAATTATATATGTAAATTTTTTACATACGTTATACGCATGCGTGTAGAGCTGAGTTTTCACATTTGAAGGCATATTGACGGTTTCTGCCAGGTTGAAGATGAAGAATGCCGTTTTCATCCTGTGGGTGGGAGGTGAGAATCCTTGTTAAAATCCTGCTGTCAATTCCACGTTCAAAGGTAAACCTGCCAGACTTTTCCACTGATAAAAGATGTAAAAAGCCCTTTATTAAATGATTTTTAATTACCCTATGCTCCTGGCAGTTTACACTGAAACAATAGCAACCTTCCTTTTGCTCCCCCTGCCAAGACATCTCATTCACATTGACGACCAGATCCTTAGAAAAACCTGATGCTGGTCAGCCCTATCACACAAGGTTCTGCTTCTGTATCTGCATTAGTTTTATGTAAGAGCAGCAGTGACAAAGAGCCTCTATGGGTCCCATGTCCAATTCCCAAAGGTTCCAGTCAGGGCTGTTTGTAGCATGAATTCATCAAAGGTGGCCAGATCCTCTGACCATCTGAATGCATCCAGATTCTATTCAAGACACCAATAAAGGCAGTACCACCCCAAGAATGAGCCATTTTCTTATTATGTGATTCACCCCACCCAAATTTCCTGCATATAGTAACAGTGAAGAGTTCTGCAAGCACACGATGTATCACTAATCAGTTTTTGAAAGCAAGAATTTGTCCCTGTGACTAGATTGGCAATTGAAAATATGCTGGTTTGCCAACTTCCTTGTTTATTTTTAAATTTCTGGGAACATCTGAATGTATTATTGATAGCTTAAACAAGTAACTGTGTAGAATAGAGGATTTTATTGTCATTTTATTATGTAACAGACCATAATAAATAAGTAGTAGCTCTGCTGGTCCAGTGGTAAGGACTTATACTGCCAACTTGAAGGCATGTGGTTTGAATTCATTAGCTACTTCATGGGAGAAAGATAGGCTATCTCCTCTCACGTGATTTAGAGCCTCTAAAAACCCAAGTCAGCTATGTGTTGGTTCTGACTTGATGGCAGGTAACAATGATGACAGCAATTTTCCCTAAAGGTACCTAACATCAGTGACTTCAGCAGTTACATGCTAAAACCAGCTGAGTTCTCTGGAAACTATAACTGTTTCCAGTGAAAGTTTACACAGCATAGTGGGTCCTGATTTAACGATTTCTACACATTCTGTTTTAGAAGCCCTGGTGGTACACTAGTTGAACACTTAGGCTTTTAATCAAAAGTCTGGCACTTTGAATTCACTGGCTGTTCTTTAGGAAAAAAATATAACATTTTCTTCCGTAAAAATTTACAGTCTTAGGGAGCTCTGGTGGCCTAGTGGCAAGAAACTGCACTGCAATCCCACAGGCACGTGGTTCGAACCCACTAAATGCTCTGTTTTAGAAGGAGAGGCAATCTCCTGTACCAGTCAGATCTGATTTGACGGTACACACACGCGCGCACGCGCGCGCACACACACACTCACACACACACACACACACACACACACACTCTCTCTCTCTCTCTCTCTCACAGTCTTAAAAATCTTACAGGCCTAGAAGATTGACAGAGTCGGAATTAACAGCAATCTTTTTATTGAAAAACAACAACAACAACAAAACAAACACAAACACAAACAAACATATTTTCCAGTGGCCCTGGTTTTCCACATTGTATCCACATTCTCCTTATTTTTGTTCTGTTGCTTTTGCTTCTAGTCATCTAGCTTTCTTTGCCTCTTGAAATTCTCATCTTTGAGTTAGGGTAAATTGACGGTTTTGTGTTAAGTGTTAAGTTATTGTCATTGTTTTAAAATAAGGATAGAATGATAGCCAAGAGAGTAAGTACCATTAGTAGTAGGAAGTGTTTATAATATAAACATGCCTGTCTATACCATTAGACCATAAGCTTGTTGAAAGTAGGGACTGAGTACTACATATGCAGCTGCAATGCCTAGCAGAATGATTGAAATGAGCTGGCACATTAAAATGAAGACAGAGTCATACTTATTACCTTCTACTCAATGACATACACTTTGGTCTGGTTAAGGTCACACAGACAGGATAAAGACCAGTCCAGAGCTAGACAGACCTGAGTTTTGGGTTCCATCATTAGTTGCTGTGTGCCTTTGGAAAAGTTAACTAACCTCCCTTAGCTCCTATTTATATTTTTAGAAGATGCAGTTAGCATCTTCATCGTTGTTGAGTATGGAATGAGATTACTCATGTACAATAACTAATATTACATCTCAAAGGAGCTCTGGGTGGTGTAGTCCATAGGGAGTTGTGTTCCTAATCCAAAGGTGGCCCCTCTAGTGGTTCGAATCCACCAGCAGCTCTCAGGGAGAAAGATGGGCAAACTCTTCCCCTCTGATTTATTTACAGCCTCTGGAGTGTCAGCTGTGAATTCATTCCAACTTGATGGTAATGAGTGAGTTGAGTATTAGGTCTCAAACAAAAGAATTTCTCTGTGTTATTTTTATTATCATCATCATTTACCTCTACTCCCAAAATGAAAATCATTTCAGGGCACTTCTTTTGAATATTGGAGGGTAGGGGGAGGAAGAAGATTAAAAGAACAAAATGTGGATTACCTTGCTTGCCACATTTCTTCATTGGCCACAGATTCCCAAGAAGAGGGATCAAACCTGTAGTGATGAGAAAACAGTCATTTTATTCAAACGATTAATTGTGTCAGCACAGACATGCAACCTCTGTTTTATAAACCTAAAGAGTCAATGCAACATGCCAGATCATGAAGTATTCATAGGGATACTTTAATCACGTTAGGAATTCTGTTTTCTGTGTCATCTGCACAATGAGCTTCAGCGTCTCATGGGAACAGAGAAAGGATTTATGGAAATAGGCTAGTAGTATTTGGAAGTCTATTACTCATCAAAAGCATTAGAAGGGCAGAGATCAGTCAACCTATGGACACACTTAGAAGCCAAAGGGATGGGCCTGAAGAGAGGGGCTACCTGCCTCAGCCAATCATTGAGGTGATGCTGGGGTTGGATAAACATTGGCCAGGAAGCATTTGCTGGTTTTTGTTTCTCATTATTAAACTTCATCATCTTATATATCTGTTGTAACATAATGAAGACAATGAGTAATAGTGTATACTGGTTTGTCTTTGGCTGTTAAAAGAATGTTATCTTCTGACTTTTTCTCCTGATGGTCACAGAATGCTCTGACATACACCTCAAAATCCATCTCTGGCTATTAGGCTATTATACAACAGTGCTCTCTGCTAGTTACTACTGAATCAGAAAAACAGCTCTGTAGAATTTGTTCCTATTATCTTGCTTATTGTTCTTGAGTCATATGTGATATATAATCTTTAAGTAACTAATAATTACTTAAAAATAGGCAATGGAAGGGAGCTCTGGTGGCCTAGTGGTAAGAAGCTGCACGGCAATCCCAGAGGTGTATGGTTTGAGTGCACCAGATGTTCTGCTGGAGAAGGAGGGGCAATCTCCTCCTGTACCAGTAAGATAAAATTTGACGGTACATACACACAAAAAAATAATAAATTTTTTTTTTAAAAAAATAGGCAACTTTAACACTTTTCTTTATGTGGTTACATTTTTTTTTTAATAGGAGAGAGAAAAGTGTACACAGAAATGCTCAAAGCAATGTAACTGGGGTGAGGCCAAGCAATTATGAAAAAAGTTATTTCTATTGTTACGTACCACTGAGTCAGAATCAACTCATAGCTGATCCTCTAGTGGGTTTTCAGAGGCAGTGAATCACACAGGAGACAGCCCATCTTTCTCCTGCAGAACAGCTGGTAGATTTGAACTACTCCTTTAGGTTGGCAGCACAACTCCTTACTACTATGCCACCAAAGATTCCTAGTTATTCTTATAGAAATGTCACATACATGAAGAAAGGAAAATATGACAAGTGTATTCATTTAGAAACTTTCATGGGTGACAGAATGCCATAAAGCTCAGTTGCAGTTAGTGAATCTCTGCTCCTTTCAGGGTAATAGAGAATGGAGGCCAATTTAACGTGGAAGAGCTAAAACTGAAAGATGCTAAGGAAATTTACTGATTATGGTGCCCACTGAACTACAGCCTCACTTTCTCTCCTGTCTCCCACTGTCCTTCAAACATAAAGGCAAGAAAGGAATGATGACAGTTTGAAGACTAGACTGTGCCCGATTCAGGTATGTCTTCAATCACTTTCTATGCATCTGAAAGCTGAACAGTGGTTAAGGATGAAAGAAGAAAAACTGATGCCTTTGAGTTGTGGTGCTGGAGAAGAGCAATGAATATTCAGTGAACTGGCAAAAAACAGATATATCGTGGACAGAGTGAAGCTAGCATGCTCTTTAGAGGCAGGAAGGTAAAGCTTCATCTCACTTACTTTGAGTATGTTGTTAGGAAGGGCTATTGCCTTGAAAGAGACATCATGCTTGGAAAGGTGGAGGGTCAGCGAGAGAGGAAGACCCTCAATGAGATGGACCGATGTAGTGACTACAGTAGCAACAGGTTCAAAGGATTCTTAGAAGGAAAGCCCTTGTGGCTTTGTCTTATGTGGAAAAACAAAAATGTTTTTTGATACCTTTAAAATTCTTTTCCAGGCAGAAACAGGTGTTCCTTTGTGTTCCTTCTTTGTGTGTGAGATAATGATGGTACAGGATAGGACAGGGTTCAGATCTGTTGTTCACAGGGTCACTGTGAGTTGTACTTGAGTCAACGGCACCTAACAACAAACAGCACCAGAACAGAGAGGGGAAGAGAGAGGCTACGCTAGTCCTTGGAGAGGGACATCATGCGTGGAAAGATGGAGGGTCAGCGAAAGAATGGAAGATCCTCAATGAGATGGACAGACACAGTGACTGCAGCAATGGGCTCAAGTGTGTCAGAGACAAGGCACAGGCACAGGAAAGGACAGGGTTCAGATCTATTGTTCACAGGGCCCTAGGAGTTGTACTTGACTCGATGGCACTTAACAATAACAACATACTACAGCGTCCCTTTTCAGCAGGAAGTAGTTAAGAGAATATGCCGTCCCCTTTTCCTTATGAATCAGGGTGAAGTCTCTCTCAGGGAGGAGTGACAGGGAATGGCAAACGACACACTGACAAAGGAGATTAATCAGAACTGGTTTTAACAAGCACTATGGCAATGGGACAATTAAAACAGACTTTCAAGGGGTAAAAAAAAAGAGGAACAAACTGGGGGGGGGGTAGAGAAAATAGTGCAACAATGAATGAATGGAAATCCAAAATCTCTGTAAATGCTCATTAAAATTAACAAAGTTTAATAACAATTTAAAAAAAAAAAACAACCAGTAACAACATACAATTCTTACAACTAGTTGAGTCATAGCCTTTTACTGAATCAACTACTTCCTGAGGCCTGCAGTGACTATCAGCCCATCATTGGGTCTTGTGAGAATAAAATAGTTCTAAAACAGGAGTTGGGTTGTGTCACTGGTGAAAGCTGTCCAAACACCCTGTGCTTTACTAGAAGGGAGAAATGAAGAAAGTTAAAAATTGTCTGCTTAGAAGTAGATCCGGCGGGTCCTCCTTCAGCTTATTTATTTTCATGGTAATTTGTAGGATATAAGTGTTGCACTGCTACCTGGAAGGTCGGCCACGCAAATAAACCAGCCCGCTCTGTGGGAGAAAGGTGGGAGGTCTCTTCCTACGAAAATTTACAGCCTCAGAAATTTGATGGACGGTCGCTATGAGATTTTGTGGGCAGCAGGTAACAATATTAATTAACAGAACAAAACAAAATGGCATCTCAAAATTTATTTATGTTTCTTTGGGCACACAAAACCATCTTCTGATTAAAACTATAATTGATGCTCATACCGTCCATATTCTTCAGTCCAGTTATAGATATTTCTTGTAAGTTTGATCCATTCCTCAGGGTCGAATACAATCTCTGAAGGAACTAATTTGTCACAAGAGCCCCAGGGCCAAAGGGAATAGTTCTTCTTCCAGGTGGGGTCACCTTCATGAATTCCTATACAAACAAAGGTTTGTTTTCTGTTGAAACAACAGGGAAAAAAAAGGGGGGGGGGGAGAGATTTGAAATTTAAAGTTCTAAGTGAACAATAAAGATTACTTTTTAAACCCTTAAACTCTGGCTATCAAAAACCATGTGTGAACATGCTAGGTTTTCTGAAATTTTATCTTAGTATACAAAACTTCTTTCTCAAAAAAAAAAAACAAAAACCAAAAAACTTCTTTCTCTGGGACGAAGGGAAGCAAGCTGTTCCTCACACTGTAAGAATTCATTTGCAGACATCATTTTGAGAAGGGAAACCCTTGTAGCTTCGTCTTATACATAAAAACAAGTTGTTGGGTATGTTTGGTTTTTTAAAATATCTTTAAATGGTTTTTTTTCCACATAGAAATAGGTATTCCTGTGTTCCTTCTTTCTTAAACTACCACTTCTTTTTATTTTTGTACTCTTTCATTGCTATTGTTGTTGTTATGTGCCGTCGAGTCACTTACGATTCACAGTGACCCTATGTACAACAGCCCTGAAACTTGCTCTATCCTGTGTCAAATTTACTGTTTCTGACACACCTACCCTCATTACCCCAGTCACTGAATCAATCCAGCTCATCAATGGTCTCCCTCTCTTTCCCTGTCCCTCTACCCTTCCAAGCATGATGTCCCTCTCCAAGGACTGGACTCTCCTTGCAACATGCCCAGAGTATATCAGACAAAGCCTCAGAATCCTTGCCTCCAAAGAGCAGGCTGGCTTCATCCTCTCTAGGACGAAATTTTTCGTTCTCTTGGTAGTCCATGGTACATTCAATACTCTTCTCCAGTACCACAGCTCATAGGCATCAATTAACTTTCTATCATCCCTAGTCATTGTCCAGCTCTTTGATGCATAGCAAGCAACTGTGAAGACTATGACCTGAATCAGGTGCACCTTAGTTCCAGACTGACATCACTATTCTTCAGTATTCTGGAGAGGTCTCTGACAGACAACTTTCCCAGTGCAATTTGTTTCTTGATTTCCTGGCTGCTGACACCAAGAGTGTTGATTGTGGAGCCAATCAAACTAAAGCTGTTAGCAATCTCAACCTCTTCACTATCTATCATGATGCTGCCAATTGGTCCAGTGGTGAGAATCTTTGTTTTCTTGATGTTGAGCTTTAATCCATATTGAAGGCTGCAGTCCTTGACCTTCTGCAGCAAGTGCTTCAGGTCCTCCTCAGTTTCAGCAAATAGGGTTATGTCATCTGCTTAACGCAGGTTGTTGATGAGTCTACCTTCAATCCTGATGCCACATTTCTCCTTATACAGCCCAGCCTCCCAGATGATCTGTTCTGCATACAGATTGAAAAGGTATGGAGACAGAATACATCCCTGGCATAAACTCTTCCCAATTTTGAACCATGTAGTGTTCCCTTGCTCTGTTCTGATGACTGCCTCCTAGTTCAAGTATAGGTTTCACATTAGCACAATCAAATGTTCTGGGATTCCCATTCATCTCAGAGTAAGCCATAGTTTGTTGTGATCCACACAGTCATATGCCTTTGCACAGTCAATGAAACACTGATATACATTCCTCTGGTACTCTGATTTCAGCCAAGATCCAGCTAACGCTAGCTATAATATCCCTATTACCACAGCCTCTTCAATACCCTGTCTGGTCATCTGGTAGTTTTTTTGGCTGACTTTTTGCTCCAGTCATTTCTGGATAATTTTCAGCAGAATCTTGCTTGCATGTGATATTAATGATATTGTTTGATAATTTCCGCACTCTGTTGGGTCACTTTTCTTTGGAATGGGAACAAATAAAGATTTCTTCCAGTCAGTTGGCCAGGTGGTTGTCTTTCTGATTTATTGGCACAACTTGGTGAGCACACCCAGGGCAGCGTCTATTTGTTGAAAAATGTCAATTGGTATGCCATCAATTCTTGGAGCCTTGCTTTTTGTCAATTCTTTCAGAGCAGCTTGAATTTCCTCCTTCATCACCACAGGCTCTCATTCATTTGTTGTTTCATGAAATTCTTCTGTGTCAGTCAACTCCTTCTGGTACAGTGAACTCTGTATACTTTTTCCATCTTCTTTTAATACTTCTTGGATTATTTAATATTCTGCCCAAGGCATAATTAAGTATAGAAATTCATGGTTTGAGTTTGTTTTTCAATCCCTTCAGCTTAAGAAATACTGAGCGAGTTCGGTCCTTTTGATTTTCTGACTCCAGCTCTTTGCACATTTCATTATAATACTTTGCTTTGTCTTCCTGACCTGTCCTTTGAAATCTTCTAATCAGTTCTTTAATTTCTTGACTTCTCCCCTTTGCTTTGGCTTCTCGGAACTCTAGTGCAATATTCAGAGTCTCTGACATCCATCTTGGTTTATCATGTTATGTGTATTATTGGCATTTGTCATTTTCTCTAGTTAGTCCAGAATCATTGTAAGGACAGATTATTCCTCAATACAGTGAATGGTGTACAGCATGGTGCACAGCTGGCAATCAATAAATAGTGGCTGGATGATTTGAAATTCTAATAACATCAAAACCTCACTGTCTTTGAGCTGGTTTCAACTCCCGGTGCCCTGCACTGGATGACCCTGACTACCATCTTTAGAGAAGACTGCCCACCTTTCTCCTGTGACCTTTTGGCTAGCATTATGCACTATGTAATCTGAGTGACATTTTAGAGAAGAGATTATTGGGGTGTGCACCCTCCTCTTCTGCTCCATTTACTCGACAAAGCCTGTGTTTGCATGCCAGGGTATGTGTGTATGTTGTGTTTGTGTGTGTATTTTCCTTAACAGATAGTTTTAACCCCAGTGGCTTATGATACCTAATGGCAAGTCCCTATGAACTGGTTTTTGAAAATTCCTTTTTTGTTTTTTGCCAAAGGACCTAAACAGAAACCTA